GTGATTCAGAGCATCTGCCTAGGCTACTGCTCTGATTAGAGCTCTAGAGAAGCTCATCTCCTCTGGATATAGGGGCAGCATCAGGAAAGTTACCTCTTGTGCATAGAATTAGCCTTCAGGGATGCTTTCCCTATAGGCCCAAACTTCCTTTGGGTTGCCTGCTTTCAAGTCCTTTCCAGTCCTGCACCCATTCAAATTCTCTGCTCCCTCTGTATATGTGTTGTCCAGTTATTTCTTTCAAGTGTAGGTACCTTTAATGCATGTCTTTAGTGCATTAGTGCATTTAGTTGTGAAGAACTATGTGAAAGTTTCTTGCTCTGCCCCCTAGAACAGGATTATACATTTCTATTGTCCAAGCAAACTGTGACTCAGTCCTTCACCAAACCTTTCTGCCTGCTCAAAATACAGTTTTTATTGATTTATGAGTGGTTTATAACTGTCAGCCAGGAGCCTTACAACTGCAAAAATTAAAATTTTAGCAGGTATCTTTAAAAACTTGTTTCTGAACTTGCTTCTTGTGCTGATCCAGTACTTCCAGACTTCTCTTTGTGTTTCAAGACTCCAGTGCAGAGTGCAGCTCACTTTCTGACTTAAATAACTATTGAAAAACTTATAGCAAGATTACTTCTATGTGCTTTCCTCCTCCCCCCCCTTTAAATATTCCCTGTTTACAGCATGTTTCCCTCTTACTGAGCTCAGGCCAATTGTTTCATGGGCTTTTTTCTTTCATAGTAATTACTGTGTGTTTATTGCCTCTGTCTGTTTCTTATGTTTGTCATCACTCTGAATCTTTTCCACCTTTTCCCTCTGCTGTTACTCTTTAGCTATTGCCATTAGAAACCAAAAAATCCCAATTCCTGATGCTCATGAAAGCAGCCAGCGCAGACCTCAGTGATGCATGACTGTGGATTCTGTTGGGGCTTACTAGAAAGGCTCTCTCTTTGTTTTGGGATGGCATGTTTGCATTGCTATTGGTTTGGGCCTCTGACTTGCTCTGTACAGCTTGGGATTGAAACTCTTATGTTTATCTGGGATTTGAAAAGCAAATGAAGCATCACACTGACCTATTTCAGCCTTTTTGTTTTGCAAATGTGCTCTTGGAACTGCCCCTGCTATGGAATGATTACGGGATGCTCAGGCTAGGATCCCCTGCAAAAGTGGGCAACAAGCAACCCATATCACAGAAAAAAGCCCTTACTTCTAAATATGGATCAAACCTAGGTATTGTTTGTTACTCTGAAGTAGTTTTTACCCTTAAGGTGGTCTGAAGGGCAAAACAGATGAAAACACAAAAAGCAGTCTAAGTGACATATGTATCTTGATCAACATTAAAATACACTGACAAAACAAATTATAATGGCCTCTCCTAGTACACAGAGAAGCAATATCCACAGGGGTATGTGATCTGAGCAGTCAATATTCTCTGCTTACCTGTCTAAGCATGCTGGTAAGACTAGTTGGATTGAGCATACTCCCAGATATGTGGATAAACACATTTCAGTATTTGGGACAGGAAAACCAGATCTGACAGACCTCAAATAGTGACAATTTTCCCACAGAACGTTGCACTTCTACTGCAGTATAAACACTGTATAACTCCATAGCTCCTGGGGTCTGCATGAGAAGCCATGAAAGCAGTATTAGCAGTGCAGCTGTGAAGATGGGCTACAAGCACCGCCTGTTCTGAGTGCTGCCTTGTCATTAGAGGGAGAGCTCCAACCTTGGGAGCATCTGGGAAGGGGCTACAGAAGTGGTGTCAGAAGGAGGCAATGACTGGGAATTGCCTGGAGAGAAGGGGGAAAAGCACCCCAAGCGTGTCAACAAGGGTGTCTTGCCACAGTATTTTCTGCTAGTGTCCAGGTGTGCTCCGGCTCAGTAGTTCAGTATCACTTATTTAAAATCAAATGGCATGAAAGCTATTAAATGATAGCACATGGTATTGAGACCAATGTGTGTGTTATTGCAGAAGCTGCCAAGGCAATCTGTTATTTTGCTAACTTTGTCTTGCTCTCCATCCAGCTGACTATGCCCAGGCTTTCTGGTAAGACGAAAACTTTTTTGTTTATTTCAGTCCAACCATGGAGTTTGCTATTACCCGGGAAGTAATAGGCCTCAGGCTGGTGGTCTGCACAACAGCAACTGTCACCATCTCCCCTCCTGGAAAGAACAGTCCCTGGGAATACTGTGGCGACTATAACACGTCATTATAACTCCTGTACCGTGCTTGCTGTCTGCTGCTGTCTGCTTGGAGGTGTTCATTCTCGCCTGTCATACGCAAAATCCATGAAGGTTTATTCCACTCGCAGCAGCACAGCAACAAAGCCTGCTGTTGTGTGAAGTGACTGGAAAGCTGAGCAGCTTCTCGCACCATGGCTGTACTAGCTGGCTTCTGCTTTGTGTGGGATCTCACTGTTGTCCTGCCTGGAAGAACAAAACCAAACCTTTTGTCCTGCTGCTGGCTGTGTGCTGGTGTAATAGGAGCACAGTGGGCACAGTGAGAAAAGACTGCTTTTCTTGCTGCTATGGTAACCTCCAAACAAATTTCAATGATGGGAAATAATACCTTAACCAGATGGACAGTGCGTCTTCCCTAGAAGGCTGTATTTAAAATGTGGTCTTTTGAGTCTTGTGCTAATTGCCGCATCTGCTGTAGGCTGGAATGGAAGAGAGGCCATGCTCCCCAATTGGAAATGGGCAGCATCAGCAGATGGTCTCCTGGACCCACTGTAATGCTGAAGTACAGACAACCAGACTTTGCCTAATGTGGCATGAGGGCTCTGAGCAAGGAGCACTGGAAACCAGATTCCCTGAGTGATTGGCACAGTCAGCTCTGTGACTGCTGTCCTGCTCAGCTCAAGCACTGTTGGAGAGACAGGTCATTGCAGGTAGATGCCCTGTCATTCTCAGTCTTCCTGAAGCAAGTATCTCAACAACTCCCCCCACCACACACATTCCAGCTTCTTATAAGGCTGCTTCACAGAAGGGAGAAATGCTCTCATGATATGGTCTAGTAGCACAAAATTTAGCTGGTAGCTGACAATAGAGACAATGCAAGAAATATAAGAATAAAATAGGTTTATTAGAGCTATTTTACATAAAGTAATCAAGAACAAACAACTTGAAGAACTATTTTTATACCATGGCAATATTTGTGCTGACTTGAAGCTACTGAAGTACAAAAGACGACATACAAAAAGATGCATGCCTCATTTGACTCTGGTTTTATTGGAACCCATGAGGAATGTGACATTCTTGGACAAACAAGATAGACAGCACAATTCTTGTGTATATATATGTATATATAACATGTACTGTACACATTTTACTGTTAACACATCTGAAGTTCACTCACACATATCAATTACTTGCTCTAATTCTATGAGAATTTTTCTGGGTTGAGGGCAGATCACCAAAGCTTTCAAGCTTTGCAGGGAGCTATGGGATAACCAGCAGGAATCCTACACTCCAGCATCTTGGATAAAAACTGCTGTGTGCTGCTTTCTCACGCTGTGGGAGGGGGGCGGGCTAGGGGTAGAAAAGGCTGAACAAGCCCTGAGCTCTGGGGAGAGAGACAGCTCTGGGATCATACACAGAATTAGAGAGTGGTTTGGGTTGGAAAGGACCTTAAAGATCATCCAGCTGCAGCCCTCCTGCCACAGTCAGGGATGCCATTCACTAGATCAGGTTGCTCAAGGCTCCATTCAGCCTGGCCTTGAATACTGCCAGGGATGGGGTATCCACAGCTTCTTTGGGCAACAGTACATGACTGCTGTTGAGCACTGGGAGGTCCAAGCTCATCTGCTGAGGACTTGTATTTTTTCATTTCAGCATTTAGTAAGCATGGCTCTCTGCTAGCGACACAGAAGTTTAAACTATGAATGGAAAAAAGATGCTTTAATCTTTAAATCCCAATTTTCTTTACAAAAGCTGGCGCCTAGATAGTGATTGCTTTTAATTAACAAAGCAAGGCAAACTCTTTAATGAAAACACTTCCAGTGCATTAGGGGGAAAGTACACAAATGGGTTTCTGCTGGACAGTGAAATAGTGCCTTGGTTGGAGCATCCCGGTCTCCAGAGCAGAGTGCAGCAGTGGTAGCACTGAGAAGAGCATGCCGGCACAGGCTTCCCCCTGTGCTGGGGCTGTTGGGCCTTGGCTGCTCCAGTGCCCTGGCCCTGGGGCACACTCAGCCTTGGCTGAGACCCCAGCTGCTGTGGGGAGGGCAAGAGCACCCTGCATCCAGCATGGGGTCTCCCCACGTTGAAGTGACTTCTGCATAACTGCATCTACTCTTTGGAGCCTGAACGTTTCTTATTTTCTGAGCATGGGCATCTACTCACTTTTTTATATTATCACTGAAGGGGAAGAATATGTTCCTCATCTTGTAAACTGCTTCTACACTTGAAAATTAACTAAGGATTTTGGTTCTGTTATAGAGGCAGAGGTTCATGGACACAGGAGAAAGGGGAGAAAACAACTGACCAAAATCCAATTTTTAGAGATACATCCCATTGATGAGGTAATCGGACTCTTCAGATGTAATGGGTCGAGCTTTTTTAAGCTTCTGTTTCACTAAGCGCAGTCTGCAAGCAACCATAAGAAGCAGCAAAGCAGTGATGGCCAAGCCTAAGGCTAAGGGTAACACAGCACCTACAACGAGGTTAAGAGAAATTACATTTTATTTAATACAGTGAGATGCTGGTAGAGAAAACCTGACATTTTTCTTTAAAAATACAGCTAGTCTATCACTTAGATGCTAATATTTTGAGCAACTCATGCTACAAAACCAGAATATGGAGTACATTATTCAATTTTTGACCATTGTATGTGTATTGTACCAGCTGACTGAAAAACTAATGTAATTCAAAATGAATTCACATGGTTGGTCTTACCTGTTTCTGGGACTGGATGACTACCTCCAAGCTGATCTCTCTTTGGCACCATTATGCCATTCCCATTTTTATCATCTCTTCTTTTCCCTGAGGAACTGTTATCTGCACAAAGTCAAGCAAGATAAATGAATATGGCTGTTCAGTGACTTAGAAAGTCTTATCCACAGGACACTAGAATTAAATAATGTAAAGTACTAAACTTAGGGAAAAAAATCAAACAAAAGAACAGTAGTTTAAGAACTTCTGACTTCAACTGTATAACTTGAATTTTTGAAATAATGTGAAGCTAAAGCTAAAATGTGAATTCAGTTTTGCATCCCAAACCCCAATTCATCTCAACCAAACCCAAGTGGGGTCGTTTTCCACTGAAAAAAAGAAGGATATCAATTCTGTTTTACAAACTTCCAAAATTAGGTATAGACTAGTCTGAGCTAAAACTTTGCTTAAGCTCTTTACATATTGTAGTTGAAAATGAGGCCATTTCATGTTATATTGATCTCTATCCTTGGAACTCGCAAAGCAGAAAACACATAGGTTGGCTGCACAAATCACCTTAACTTTGCCTGTTACCTGACACATACAGATGCAGAACTTAGGTACTTGGAAGACATGAAAATACATGGGGAAAACATTTCAAAGAGAATGGAGTCAGTGCAGCTTGTGTGGTAGGTAAGATATTACAGAGCATTCTACCTACTCAAGAAGAGACAACACATACTTTGCTGCCAAGGAGTGTTCTTAGGAATGCATGGGGCGGCAGTTCTACTTTAAAAAAGCAGAGTAACTCAGCTGGGACTCCCTCCTCCTGCCCTCCCACTCAAGTCCTACTCCGATAGCTGTGGGGACACCATGCAAGAATAACAGCTTAATCCACCAACACCCTCACAAAAATCAGTGATATGCCTACATTTTTAAAGTATTGACTATATTGGGGGTTTACTGATAACATAAATATTGAAGGGCACTTTGACTGTGCTGTGAGACATTTGCTGGCAGCCTTCAGAACTGTGACAGAGCCAGCAGAACACACTATACTACAAGATCTGTAAAACATGAATGTGAAATGTTGTAATTGGCATTACATAGAGTGGTGGGTGTTAAGGAAGTGTTTAAGTCAATTAGCTTGGAACGTGCACTCTGTGTAACTCCCACCCACTACCATCAGCTCTGAAGAGCCGCAGAATGTGTCCCTGTCAGTGGCAGCAGCGAATACTCACAACTGTTAATTAAAGCTTAAATTGTTTTATCAATACTGTCATGAGGTCAGTGCTGATGTTCCCACTCTAAGGCAGAACACCACCTCCCCGGCTCTGGTTTTACTGCCTTGCTATTATGGATAGCGGTACATAAACACTAAGTTCACCTGCAGGAGATGCCTTAGGAATGAGCTGTGGCCTCCGCCTCATTGGGCTCTTTATGTTGTTCTGGCAGGTAAAGTGGACTTAAGGGAATCCTAAGTGTAAATTGTACTGGCTTTAAAGTACCTGTATGGTATCAGATCTGTGCAACATCACCGAATGTAACTTAGACTAAAACCAGCAGCTGTTTTCTGCTTCTGTTTTTCCTGAATGAAATTAAACAAATATTTGTCTTTATTTTGAAAATACTCAAAAGATATTGGCTCTTCTTAAGAGCTGCTACAGCCTGAATGGCAAGGCTAGATCTAAATGCCTGTTTTGTAAATTTGTTTCCTGCCATTTGAGTAAATGGAATATTTAAGCCAACTGCTTGTAAAAACATTTGGCAAATATGGAGAGAAGTTTAGTGGGAAAATTTTGGAATGGTAGAAGAACAGAATCCCTTCAATAAAGCTTGTAGGATTTTGTTAAGACTTGTGGCTGCTCTTACATGACTGGAGAGACTATCAGTCAGTGCTGCTTAACACCTTATCTATTATCACTAGAAAACAAAGAGCAATTTCCCCACATAAGTTTAGAAGCCTGACATAATCATGTTAACTGGGTTTCATTTTGTTTTCACTTCCTCTTGATTTTCTAGTCTGTTAATAGTAAATTGCAATTTACAGCCCTTTCCAGTTACCCTAAATTAGAGATCTAGGTTAGAGCTCCCACTGTCGATGCCTCCACAGTAAAAACATGACTAAGGCTTGGGCACTCAGCCAGATGTTGTAATCCCAGCCCTGAACAGCACTGCACAACAGCTGGTGTGGGCAGCCTGGAAGAGGCAGGGACCTTGTGCCAGGGGAATGCAAAGCTGTTATTGTGATTTATACACTTGAGTTGGCTATGCTGGGGAGCACAAATCTTCAGGCTGCTCATGAATTCAACCTGTCTGCATGACCACGTTTGCTACTGGCTGTTGCTGCTTAGAAGCCAGCCCACTGCTCACTCCAGTGAGCTTTGCTGCAAATGTATGTTTGCTGTATTCATCTGCACCTGCAGCAGTGCCAGAATATGCAGCTGGGTTTAAGAACTTCCCTGGAGAAGGACACTTGGGCTCTTTGGAGAAGAAATGCTGTGCTGGCCTTTGCAGGAGATGCAGTCTGGGTTACTTTACTATGGAGGTATGTCTGCAGAGAGAGAACAGATTCCTTTATTGACATAAAATGCCTCTTCCTGCCTCTGCTCCCAACTTTGGAAGAAAATGTTTGGGCAAAAATTAAACCATGAGTCTGTTGCAGAAGACTCTGTGCCCTGAGTGTCTGAGGAAGTTATCTCTTAGTGTTGGACTAAGTGTTCCCCTGGAGTCACCTAGCTGTAGAGGAATCCCACTGGAAAGGCAGGATGCAGAATGAGATTCAGCCACTGTCAACAATGACTGATTTTTGGCTTTTGTTTTGGTTGCTTGGTTGTGTTTTTTTTTTCTCCTTATTGTGAATAAATCCTCTGCTAGGTCAGGTAGAAATTTTAAATAGTACTTAATTTGGACTTGCATATTTTCATATTTTCATACTTCAGTGTAAATCCTTAAAAACTTTGTGTCAAGTCAGAGACAAACATGAGGGCCACTGGAGTAAAGATGGCAGGTTAAGGGACATCTGGAAAGAGAAACTATTAAGAGAAAATGGATTCTGGGACAAATTTTCCCTTGTATGACCCTCATAGGCAGAAAGCTCATATTCCTGCTACCAGGAACTATCCCACAGTCCAAAATATTACAGCGTAGCCCAGCTACTTTTAAAATGGAGAAAAGATAAATATGCTGGTACTCGACAAGAAGGTCCCTTTATTGGACATCTTTATTGGAATATGAGAGATGAAATCTGTTTATGGAGAGGTAAGTAGCAGAAGGGACATGCCCTTATTGGTACTGTAACCACCACTGTAGTAAAAACAAATGTAAAAAAGAAAACAAAGCAAGTCCCCAGTCCTGCAACTTCTTGGGAAAAACTTCTGTTCTTTAGAAGTCAGCTGAAAGCTCCTGTATCGAGCATCAAGTCTAGCAGCCAGCTAGAATGTGCCACATGCTGTCTCCAGTAGGTAACACCTTCTTTTACTCTGCCTTGCATTCACTGGATTTGAGAGCATCGTGTTTTCCTTCCTGGATTGTATTTCCATGACAATCTGAAACAGTCAACTAAGAAATAAGACAAATGTAGCCCTGAATGGAGCAGCCACAAATAAAAAGCTGGAACCTGTGCTGCCACTGTAAAGCCACATCCCTTTAATATGTATGTTAAGTAGACAGCTTTTCAACATATTGAAATTAAAATAAGTAAATCTTACTTTTAAAATTTATGTATAATAGTATATAGGAAGCCTGGATGTTTGCAAAATCAACTCCAGGCCAACAAGCCTTGGGCCAACAAAGACCTTTTCAGTGTGACTCAGAGGCAGAGGTTCCACCTTGGCACCAGTAGTGGCTCTAGCACTGTCTCAGGAGACAGTCCATCCCAGAACAGGATTTCTGCCAGTGAAATTGCTGAGCTTTTGAGGCTGCTGGTATGGTTTCTGTTCAGTGCTGCTTCCCTCTCCTCAAAAATGCATCTAGCAATTATTGCCCCTCTGAACACCTCCAAATGAGCTGCTTCAGCAGTTCTGTGTGTCTTAATTTTTGTATCACATAATTATTAGGTTTGGTCTGTAACTTTCTTGAGATGGCAGTGATGGAGAGAAGTCTAATTAATGGATCTGGGTGAATTTTTAGGAACAGGTCTCCTCAACTTTATAAAGACTGTGATGCTCACCAGTGGGGCAGGACCTGAACTCCTCTGGACCTCTGTGAATCGTTAATGTACAGAATGTGACTCGTGTGAAGTGTGTCTGCAGGAGAAGACAGCAGCTCAGAGCAGGTTTTGGCAGAGCATTTTTTGGCATTGCCCTTTGGACCCAGGTACGTGGCACCTCTTCACGTCTCACCACATGCACCCCATTTGGAACTGATCCATAGGTGATTTTAAACCTCACTGAGCTGTTTGTTGCTTTTTTGGTTAAAAGTATTGGGTTCCTAGGTCAGTAAAGACTGGAACCTTCTATTCTGAAGGAAATTCTTAAGCATCTAAAATTAAATTTTGACTGAGTTTTGTCAAGAAAGCAATATTAAACCCACAAGAATTAAAACTAGACATGCAAAATCTTGCCTTTTTAAAATTAAAACAATTACAACAGCTACTGGTAGTACACTTATTACTGAAGCCCCATCACACTTTTTTAGTTTTATAAGAATTTCTTTCTTTGCATGTCTACTGCTGTGCAAAAGGCTACCTTGAGAGCAAAACCAGTGCAAGTAAGTCACTGTGCAATAGGTAAACACAGAAAATGACTATGTAAAAGTGCCACACTTCTAGATGTACTTCCAATTACAACCCCTGATTATAGGTTGCTGAAGTTGGTCACCTCAGTTCTGGTTTTATGTCTGGATTCACGATCCAAATGGTTTTTGAGACCTACTTAGCAACTGAATTTCCACTGGAGGCTGCAATGTCCCTTGGAAATTTGATGTTTAGTTTAGGTGGCCCCATATTAGGTGTCACTCAAGACTATGTGAGCAAGAAGGTTTTGGATTAGACTTCAGGATTTAAGTCATTCCAGTGAGGAGGACCGAGGTCATCTACACTGCCAGAAAAGGGGAAAACTGAGGATTTTGCTATCGGTCCCTAGGCATTCACTGAGGCAGCCTAATTCTTGAAGAACATTGTTTTCACTCCCTTTTCAGTCTCCACAGATGAAGTACAAGCATCTGAAGAAACACTCAAGTGCCAGCCAGGGCAGTGCCCTTTACAAGAGTTGGCAGCAGAGGGCCTTGAGCACTGCTCTATTGTAACTGGAAAATAAAGCTGGTTATAAATAGCTGTGTCTTGGGGTGCACAAATCAGTCTAAACGCGAAGAAATAAAAGTGGGAGGTCTCATACAAAGGCCAGGGCTGGGGACTCTGCCTGTAACATCACCACACGCTGACTCACTACAGGCCTGCAGCCACTATGGAGAACAATACCGGGGACCTGTACACGTTCACCTGAGGTTGTTTGTTACCAAAGGCTGAGCCTTTTCTATAGTGATGAAAGACTTCTCCTGCCCTGGAGACACAGTTCAGAAAAAAAAAAATGCCCATAATACTAAAGATATTAGTTCAGAGGGGAAAAAAAGAAAGAAGTCATAATTAACACAAGGAGGAAAGCAATTACTCTCACCCAAGTTGAACAGTACTTTATTATGTTCTCCTGAAGTACTCCCCTACAGATTTAAAGAGCCTTAATACATCAGCCTACACAGGTGAACCTGGGGCGGAATTTGTATTTAGCTCACTGCATGTTTTGTTCCTCAGACTGTATTATTTTCCTGGCATCCCTACATTTTAACTTTCTTTTTGCACCTGCTAAAAAGCAGACTTGACAGTAATAAATCAAAACCTACATAGAACATTATTACAGGTTTCTTTTGTGTCTTTTACATTTTCAATTTTTTTCCTCTTAAGCACCAAAAAACAATTAAAATAAATTTAAGGTGCAAGACATTTTCTTTCTTTAAAGAGAATGATTTATTGAAACTGATTCATTTCAACTCTTACCTGGCACAAATCCACTGATTTGTTTCTTTGGTCCCTGAGAAAGCGATTGGTTAGACATGTCTGCATCCACTGAGAGAACTGGTTGATTTCTGACAGTGGCTTTCAGGGTGTTTTCTGCAGAGAAATTTTCATCTGTGTTTTCAGTCAGTCCTACAGTCCTTTGCTGGGTAGTGCCAAGAGCTGCATGTGTCACTGTCTTTCGACCTGGGCTGACTGTTAACAGAAACAAAAATCATAATTTTTGTACATAATTAAAGGGGCAGGCTAAAAAGCTTCTTCAGGTTCACACATATGATGAAATGTGAGTTCCAGCTGCCAACTGTTAAGCAAAAGTACACTCATGAACTCTATAGTGAAGTCCAGCAACTAAAATATCAATGCCAGAGTGGTTAGCAATTGTGCCAATTCACCCTCTGATGATTTTCATTCACTTAGTTGAGCGTGGGCACATACTGAGGGATGACTAATGAAAGCAAATAGAGTGATTGTGAATCAGCTGGTTCCCCTGCCTGCTCAGAGTGTTTCAGATTCTTGTAAGGTGTGTAGCAGCACTTTGAAGAGTATCTCTGAGACACTCTGAAACACAGTTCTTCTTTCCAGAATCATCATGCAAGTGGAAAAACTATCTTTGAAATATTCAACACAAAATCCGTCATTTAGGGACCCTTGATAGTTTTAATATGCTTTGAAGAAAATTTCTGAGCACCTGCTGTATGTGGACATTACATCTTCCCGTGTGCTAATTCCAATGAAAGGCTCTATGTTGGGAGCAAGTTGCTTACTTATAGGGAGAGAGAGGCCACAGAAGTGGCATCATTCCCCTTTGGTCATTTGGGCTGTGGTTACTTCCACAATCTACACCACAGCCTGGCACACTTACGATTCTGGCAGAAAGTTTCATCTGATCCATCAGGGCACTGTCTCACACCATCACAAGCAAAAGTGATGTCAATGCAGCAGCCATCATCGCAGATAAACTGGTAGCGAGAGCAAACCCCAACACAGGCTGTTGAGAAACAGTTCCCAAATTACCAAGAAATCCAGGTAGTAAGTACTGGGTCAATGACTAAAATCTGCAGCACTGAGGAAAAAGCAAAACCATGCTATGTCAAGAAGGACCATGAACAAGGCAGAAAGTTGAAGAAAAGTTGATGTCATATTGACATAGAAGCTAATATAGGTAATAGCTATTTCTGGCACCTTCATCACTATTCTGGAAATCTCTTTACTGCAGGAATACTCAACCTGGAGGCTGTTGCACCTTATACCTTGTGCAGCACCCTTACAGTGCTTTAAATTCTGCTGGCCTAAGTTGAAAGGAGATCTTCTTAGGCTTAAAAGACCCAGAACAGTCCTGAAAATAAATAAATGAAATCTCTATGGCTGTAATGGCATTGCTCCAGCATGTAATTCCTACTACATACTCATTATGTATTTCTGACAATATATTGTTTTACATGCACACATACGGACTATATGGGATCTTTTATGGCATATTTTCTGCAACCTAATTAAAATAGATAAAGAATGCTCGTCGTTTATTTACCTCAGTAATCCAATGACTTCAATACAGCACAGACCAGAATAGGGCTAGCACAAGGTCTCTCAAATGACTTTCACCAGAAAGGACTGACTGCTGCCTGCTCTAATATTTAGATTCCCCTGGAAATGGAGAGTGTCCCTGCACATTTGCATACTCAAAGCTTTCCTGAAACCCATTCTGATCCTGTAATTTTCAAGTGTTTACATGTATGCTTTTGTCTTTCTAACAGCAGTGTAGTTCATGACTTTGTAAAGCACTATCAAACTCAGTGTTTGATTAATGTTGTAACAGCAAATCGATTTGCATAAGGGTGTCACAGCCTTTGGTTGTTATCCTGCTATGCACCAAAAAGCTGTGCAATGCTAATGGAAGTATGGCAGGAACATGGATGCCTGTTTAAAACTCCTAAAATCAGAAAATGCATCTCCTAAACTTCAGCGCTAATAATAGCATGGATCTTGCATGCATTAAGGCACTGGTTTAGCTATAGCAGTAACACTTGAATTGCTAACACAGATGGGGAATTAGAAAAATAAAAAAGACAGTGTATCGTCTATGTGCTCCATATAAAAGATACCCCTGATACCCACAGCAGCAAATAAACAAACCAGTAAACCTCTCTGGCTGCTTTAGCTGAATTAAACATTTATGAACACAACTCTATAATCCATTACTGGAATACAGGCATTATTAAGCAGGTTTTTTTGCAATACCAGTTTATTACCACAGGGACTACCTTCTCACATAGGGATATTGCACTGGTGCAGAGCAAGGTTTTCACTGGTTCAGCTGAACAGGGTGATAACACTATTTAAGTTTTACTTTGTGCCAGAGCAGCAGATCTGTACTAGCAACTTGTTAATTACGATGTAATTAGAAGTTATTACATTAAAGAGACCAGGACTCACAGCCACTGAATTCTAACTTATTTTCTACCCTTTATGCTTTTTACATGTTTCTGGAGCTCAGAGTTTAAAAATGATGGGTCAGTTCCAGTTTCAGTTTCCTCAGTAGCATAGGCTTCAATAACAACCACTAGACAGAAAAACTTAAATGCATGAAAACAAGAAGTCATCTTTTAGACTACAGATGCAGGTCACTATTATTATTAGTCTGCCTGACACAATACAATTAACTGATTTTAGCTGATAGCACAACAGCTAAGTTTAACTGACAGCACAAGCCTTGTCATGTTATTTACACCATCTCAATGTTACAATGTGCCTGATACCTATGGCAGTATTTCATTTTTACAACCCTGCATGCTTATAAGCAGTGGCAGGACAAACATTCGATGCTTGGAAGTATTATTGCTGTAACACACAATTGCTGCTTATTTGTTTCTTCACTTTGAAAGAGTGATTCAAAGCTGAAAGAGATGCCATTATGTAATGGATAAAGACAAAATAAAACACTAGAAATGGAGAATAAGATTTTTGCCTCTACCAAGATCCTTGCTCTGCTCTGAATACCATACCCTGGGTGTCACTCAGGCAACAACAACTCATTTTCTCACCTCCTGCGGAATGAACCATGGGCAGAACGGTCACAGAGATGTTGTCAGAGCTCCGCTGACCTGCAGTGTCTGTCACAGTTAGCTGGAAAATATACCCGCCTTCCTGAACGTGAGACAGTTTCAGTGTTCCTGGTTGTGGTACCTGATTAAAGACAGAGAGTGAAAAAAACCATATTGGTACAAACAATCCATCCATTGGTATAAACTTCTAGGAATAGGGAGCTCATTTCATGCAGATTAATAATTCTCTTAAGTCTAGTCAGCCCAGTCAAGCATGTATGTCAACATGTAACATTTGATCTCTTTTTTTTTTTTGCACTCATTTGTAAAAATAAACACAATATTTAGGTACTGTTTTTCATGATACACTCAGTTACCTGGAGCTGTGGATCTTAGCACTGGAAAATAAATGGACACATACATTTAACTCAATTTTTCAGTAATTAGAAATGTAAGTTTAGAGGCTAGGCAGTAAAACATTAGCCTTTTGCTCTCTATTGAGTTAGTCAGTAGACAATATACATGGATCCACAGAAGTGACTTTTGCTATATATTGATTTATGATAAAGTGAGTGTTAGCATGGCTTTATCAACAAGACTGCCCTCCTCTGACCAGTATGACATTTGATACAGTCACAACTTTTGCAAATTGCTGGACTGAATTTTTCCACATCCTATGCTGAATTTCCATGGCTTTCTCTGAACCAGAAATAAGTTCATCTACGGTGAGTGATCTAATCATTTGGTTTCAGAAAGTCATGGGATAAAAAAACTTAAAAGTGTATTAGATCATTAAGAAATTAATAAAATAACTTATTCTATGGTAATTTAAAGCAGGTACCAAACTAGCATTATTAGTACAATAGTAATTTAGAAGTACCTATAATAAAACATCCTAGACCTACCTTTATAGCAGAATGTATTGATAAATACATTTTTCTCTCTGAGTAACAGAATTTGCTAACTGAAATTTCTTTCCTTTTCTATTTGCATGAATGCACTCGGTTATCTGATCATTCTGTTGACTACATCCTGATGGAGTGTATGACCACTTAGAATTTTATTCTTTAGTATATTACAGAAATTAATATGCTTTAAAAAATATGTGCTGCTGTTCACTGTGACTACGAGGAGAGCAAATACGGTATTTAAAACTCATGAGCCCTGGAGTCCAAGTCTCTTCTCAGTGCAGAGCTAGAGAAATGCCACAAACTTCCATATATGCCACCACTGCTTCCATTGACCTCTGTGCTTTCCTTTTTATCTTCATCCTGCCCTGAAGAATGCTTGTACCTGCTTTCTTAGAAACTTTGGCTTAAAATAGATAGTAAATTTCCAGATTATCAGCATTTTAAAAAACCCCAACCCATTATTGTCCCTAAGTGTCGAGGAGCTGCACAGCTACAGACTGTGGGTCCCAATCTGAGAAAAAAATTATCTAAAAAGCAATAATCAGTCACAATAGAAAAACAAAATTACGCTGGCTTCCTTCTACAATATGATAAGATCTCTCTATAGCAGTCCTTTCACCTCCTTTGTCTTCTATTTATTCTTCAGTCCATAAGAGCAATGTAACAGCTGCCTTTTATCTTATTTAAACACATTCCCATTCTCCCTTGTAGCTATGGATTCATGCATTAATCTCAAAGAATAAATGACATGAAATTCAGTAACTTCAGGGCAGTAACTAAAGCACAAAAGACATCAACTGAAGAATGTATGAAAAAAAATTATTAATTCAACTCTAAAAATTAAATTATCATGACTAATCATCAGGGTACATATCTGTAGGAGAAATCCCTGCTCATTTGAACACAATGAAAAAGTATTTATTTAAGCATGAATGTGTGTCAAATTCATTTTCCGTTAACAGATACAAAGAAACCACCAAGACTAATCTGATTTTCACAAGTTTAAATGGATATGGGGCTTGTCTGTATTTTCAGAGTGACTCTGAGTAATAGTAAAACATATAAATTTTAAATATTTTTTTAAAATTTTCATTTTTGTCTTACTCTAGATATATTACTACATCACCGAGTATTTAATTGCTCTTGAAAGAAAATAATAGTGCAAGGGGTTATATTAACAAGTCTTGGTAATAAAATGTTCATTTCATCTAGATGATATCTAGCAACTATTCTTAAAGCTTCATTTTGTTCCACACTCTCTCACCTTTACATATCCTTCCCGCTCAAGATGGAGTTCCCAGTGTGCCCTGGATACTGTGGGCTGTGAACAGACTATGAGTAGACTCTTTGGGTTTGAGACATTTTTCCTTTCTTTTTCTGCTGATCCTAGAGCATTCACAAAGAAGGCTAGGATGAAGGATCCCTCTCTCGATGACTAATTTTAAGCTGAAACCAAAGTGATGGATGAAATATCTCAAAAGGTCTATATCACACATTTCTTTGCAGTTTCTCCAGAAGCACTGACAGAAGGCTGTTGGTGAAAATACCTAATAAGGTAATAATTTTTAGTAACTGAATTACTGATGGGTCTCTAACCTGGATCACAGAGGCTGAAAACCAAGTGCAAGTGAGCACAAACAATGGCAAAAGGAAGCAGAGCTGAAAGGCAGTAAAGTATTAGTGTTTACTTGTTTGCTGCTGGCTGTCTCATGCCATCCAGGATAGAGATTAACTGTATAAACCACCAGAAATAATCACTGGAACAAACTCTCCAGGGAGTCCTCCTTCACTGGAGGTCTTCAAGATGTGATTCGACAGATAATTTCATCCAGGCTCCTTTTCCCACAAAAGGTTGGACCAGATAGTCTTTTGAGGTCTTTTCCAACCTGGGCTGCTCTACATTTCTGTGAAATAAATGTTCAAATTGTACAGACATCCTAATTTTGGTGCCTGGTGGACAGATCCATTTGAATACATTTAATATTTTTAGCTCTACATTTAAAACCGTATAAACACAACAATCTGGAAGTAACTGTCCATGTGTGAGATTGCACGTTTACCTGCATTTCAACCGATGAGTCACCCTGCAGCAGTGTCCACTCATACTGCACAATTCCATGGTCATCTGAACTTTCTCGGCCATCCAAAAGCACCCAGTCAACAGGTGACTGTAGCACAATATCTTGTCCTGCCTTGCACTGTGGAGGCTCATCGTATTCTTCTTCTTCAATAAAAAAGAGAAGACCAGTTACTTATCAGGGGAAGCTGAGTTATTATTTATATAAAACACATTTTTTTTCTTGGTTAAGGTATTGTTTCACTGCTGTGCAACTTTCTGAAAGATGGACATGTTCATTAGTGCACATTTTATTAAGCAAAGTAATATCTACTTCAATTTTAGTTAATTGTTCTATATTCGATGTCTTTGGGAATTAACTGCTACATTAGAAACACATGGCATAGAAAACCTCTCAGGCACCTGTGTGTTTCAGTAATACAAAAACCAAGATTTTTAGCATCAGTATAGTTTTTTAATCTGAACTAATGAAAATAGGTTTAAATATGAATTACATACACAGTTACATCACCCTTTTTATAGCACTCTGCATAACTTAATAGGCTTTTAGTCTCTTTTTATAATACATCATTACAGGAGTGAAAGACTTATTTAGCATAAGCTGGCACCCTGGTGAAGCAGAATCAGAAAAAACCACCAATTTTAAGTGCCTCATTTAAGACATTCAAAGGTTGATTTTCAGACTATTTAGGATTTGTAGCATTTTGCTATATTCCAAGTACAATCGTTATTGATTAAAATTGTGAGTACTAAGTATTTTTGCCAATCAAACCACAAGTTTTTCAGGTTAGACTAACAAAAGCCATGATCTGTTAAGTGACAGAGCCTGTGAGAAGTAAAGTCATTTGTTCTGCAACCTGCAGACAGTGCAAGGAAGACAGAGGGATAAAATCTAGATCAACAAGTCAGTATTTGACAATTTTAGCCACAAGATTGTATTTTTCTGCAGTTCCCCACTCAAGTTTCATTCTTTCTGTGGGCACTGAGGAGTGCCAGGGCGTTTTCTGCTCTTCAACCCCTGTAAAGGATATTGATATTATGCTCAGAAAAGCATCTACTGAACACAAGGTTGTAACTTCACTCTGTGTTAGCTGCACAAGGAAAAGCATTTCCCTGTCATTGTAGGGGATCTTACTTGGACATGCTCTTCAACAGTATCAAAAACTTGCTCGAAGGCACGGAGCTCATCAGAGCAGTTGGGCAACTGTTTGTCTCTGACTGAACAGCAAACTTCTTATTTCTTGTTTTTGTCAGCAGTAGGTAAGACACAGAAAAATTCAAGGCAAATGCCATAAGTTAGGAAAACATGCAAATAACTGAAAACAAGGTCTGATAATAGAAAGTAAGGAGCCAGTTCTCACTCATCCAGCTGGCATGGGAAGGTTTGCCTAATTTGTACACACTCAGTTCTCAAAACCAACTTTGTTTTAAAAGCAACATCTAGGTGCAAAAAAACCCCCTAATTGTTAATAACCACCACTATTATAGTGCCAGGGCAACTTTTATTTGGTATATATGAGTTATGTAACATCTTCCCACAATTATTAACTTTACCAATAACTGTCAAAAAGAGACCAATCTGGGTCTAAAACAGCACAGCCCATTCTTCCGCTTCTACCTTGGAAAGGGGTTTCATGTCACCTGCCTGTTTAAATGACTAGATCAATGTCCTGCAGGGGCAGAGACAAACCCCACTTCCCCTGGGCCCTAAGCAATAAGGATACTGTCTTCCTGGACTAACTCTATACTCCAACAGCATGAGTTGCAATGGAAGGACCACTTCATGTTGAGGAAGGTCACAGAAATTCATGCCAGCTCTTTGCTAAAGATGACTGAGGGACCATTCTGGTCCCAAAGGATGGAAGCACCAGATTATCTTCAGAAAGGTAAATCAATGGCAAAACCACTCAAGTTTGTTCTAGTAAAGGAAAAAATGGCCTGATAGAGACATTTGGCATGGGAGGAGATATTCTATTGAGCTGAAGACTCTTTTTCCACAGCAAAGTTTTAAGTAATGGAATACATAATCCTTGGTTAGTAAAACACCTTCAGATCTGGGGAATACATGCTTCTAAGAAGTCAGCATAAAAAACCAAGGAGGGATACTCAGGAACCACTTAAAACCATCACTCATGGGAGTAAAGGACTATCAGCCACAGGTTAGCAGAAAAATAAAACTCAGAAAGCATCTCTAAACTTCTGTTTTTAACATGCAATTAGGTTGAATGTAAATAAGCAGTACAGAACTGGTATCTCAGGTCAACACTCTGAGATGCTGGAGCTGGCTACTTTCTAGAAAAAGGGGTGCAACTTTATAAAAATGCTTTTTTCTTTAGGGGGGTAACACGATAGGTTTAACTTATTCTGCTTCCTCCATCCTTTATACAGACTTATCCTGCCAATAATTAAGCTGCCTTCTGAATGACGACTCTGTTATAAAAGTTTATTTCACTGACAGCTCCTGAATGTGTTTGATATTAGTTTACCTTAATGTTGAATCTTTTCATTGCTCATCACTAATGAGCGGCACGGAAGCAAAGTCAGACATTTCCAACGAGACACTCAAGTCCTCTTTATTTCTACATCAAAAATTTAAGAATTTGCCTAGCAAAGGTGAAAACAATTACCTCTCATTTCCATATAGGTATATGGGGTTTCACTGTTAGCACAGCACAAACTGCCTGGGAGTGCAACATAAATCCACAGCCAAACCAGCACAAACTGGGTGTATAGTGAAGAACTTGGACTTACACTGAAATGTAAGTCTCTCTAAACTGTCCTGGAACTGCACAGACACACTTGATCTGAGAAATATGTATCTACCATTAATTGCTCACAGAATTAAATAAGCAGTTGGGTTTGGTTTAATGAAGATCCTTAACATAAATGAAACCCCACACTGTATCCTAATGCTTAAAAATATTTTGGAATTATGAGGGCACCACATCTACGGAGAAATGTTGATTTGGTATTCTCAGAAAGAAAACAACAGAAGACTCAACACCAAATACTCTGAAAAAAAAAAAGGAACAGCTAAAACGTGATCCCCTCATAGAAGAAAATCTTGAAATGAAAAGTTCTTTCCTAAATTTTCTAAATTCAGTCATGGGATGACAGAAGGGAAAAGAGATGTGCCTTTGTTGTCCTGTTATCCAGATTATTTTTTCAATGTAATTTAAGAATTCAGTGGTAAAGAACATCAGAGCAAAATAATTCAATCTTAATTTTATCTCTCCTGGTCTATGTCACAGCTGACAGACATTTGAATAAAAGTTCATTCTCCTTTGTGGCTTTGCTTCAGCTCCAGTGTAATTGCATTAAGAAATCATAATCCCCTGTTTCTGATACCACCATCACCCACAAGGCAGACTTTTAAATAAACCCAAAAGGACGCAGAGCAATTTGCAGATTGGGAATTGAAACTGCCTTGCAAGCCCAGTGCTGATAGTCACAAATCTGACAAAAAGGCAAAGCATTTAAGAATTCCAGAATTCAAGAACTCCAGGAACTCAAGAAATTCAAGATTTCTAATAGGTAGAGTATTAGTTGTACAATAGTATTAGCTCCTGGTTATAAAAGAATTAAGGCAGTTCAAAATGAAGCCTAATTCAAGACTTCAATGTAAAATCTAGTCTTAACCCTTCTATCTTGCCAGTGCATACGGGCTTATGAAACACAATTACCCTGAAGATGCTACATAAATAATGCTGTGTAACTAATACTTTCTCCGTTGAAAATGTCAAAATCATACCTTGGGTTTTTCTGGTACCTTAAGCTTCCTCATCTCTGGTGACATAAGATTCTTGCTATAGTTCTCTAATTATCCTGCTCACACACTTTGCAAAAAATATTTAGGCATCATAACGCCTCTACAAATTGAGCCCCTGCTCTCTCATATTTCCAGGGGATTCCCACTGACATTCTCAAGAAACAGGCAGGACTGGATGGACCTCAAGCCTAAGGTCTCCCCTGCCAAGCGAGCAGTAACAGCAGGCACATCTGGGCACAGTTTTCATCCACACCAATACCAGGTCTTCCTGTTGCATGCAGTGACTAATTTACTTCAGTTGAAATCTATTGCTGAAGAAGATGCAGATGATATTTAGGAAGGTATTGTCAACAGAGGCAATGAAATTAAGTAAAAATTATTTAAGATGTAACTGTTTAACAACAGGAGGTGGGGGAGGGAAAGTAAATTCTTAGGAAACAGACTCCAAATATAGAAATCCAGACTTGTTTTCATCTACAGCTGCTTGCTCTGGAATATGTTGTTTTTAAATATGCTTCAGGGTTGAACAAACTGCTGCTTTGGATGTGGCCCAGGTTCCAGAGGTGCTTATGGAGAATGTCCATGCTGCCTCTGAACTACTGGTGAGGTATCCTTGTCTTCTTCAGTCTAGCTCTCAAGTTCTTAAGCAGGAAAAATCCTGAATTAAGTGAATGAGAAACCATCTTAGGCAATAACATTTGGACAGCACCCCCAAGAAAAAAGGCATATGCTTGCCCTCAGGCTACTGCACCAGGTTCTGGCATAGCTGGGAACAGCATCCCAGTCATGCTTTCCAAGGTGCCCAGCACCTGCAGTTCCCAGGGAGCTGGGACCTCTCTGGTCCCCCAGGGGTGTGTGGCCCGTGAACATGCTCACCCCCCTGGCTGGCTCCCAGCCACAGGCCGGCTGGCACAGTGGACCCCAAGGGTTCTGCAGAGACAGATGGATGAGGAGTGGGTTTCCCCAAGCCCGAACACCCCCAAAGCCTGAACACCCTCCCAGAATGGGTAAGGTTGGAAGGGACCACAGTGGGTCACCTGGTCTAACCTCCCTGCTCAAGCGGCGTCATCCTAGAGCACATGGCACAGGATTGTGTCCAGATCGTTCTTGAGTATCTCCAGTGAGGGAGACTGGACAGACTCTCTGGGCAACCTGTTCCAGTGCACGGTCACCTGCACAGCAAAGTTGTTCTTCCTCATATTCAGGTGGAACTTCCTGTGCATCCGTTTCTGCCCGTTGACTCTTGTCCTATTGCTTGGCACCACCTAGAAAAGCCTGGCTCCATCCTCTTGGCATACCTCCTTTAGATAATTATACACATGGGTAAGGCCACCTCGGGCACGGCCGGGCCGCCTCTCCCGGCTCGGGGAGTCCCGCCGAAAGGCGCTCCTCGCTCCCTCCTCCCGCCGGCGACGCCTCTCGGCCCCGGAGCGCCTTCCCGGCACCGGGGCAGCCGCACGGACGGCGCCCGCTCCCCCCGCCGGCCCCGCCGCCCCCGCGCCGAGCGCCGCCATGTCCCTCCCGCCGCGGGACCGCCGCTTACCCGGCGGCGGCGGGGCGCTGCCGGCCGTCCGGCGGCTGTAGGAGCTGTACCCACGGTGCGGGGCGAAGCGGCACACGGGGCGGCCGCGGTGCGTGCAGTTGAAGAGGTAGCAGCCCGGCTCGGCCGCCGTGCCCCGAGGGCGGGCGGGCCCCTGCACCACGGCCAGCGTGCAGCGCGGCTCGGCGCAGCAGGCGTCCAGACACTGCCGCCAGCCCGACACGGCGCCCGGCGCCCGCAGGAAGGTGGCGCCGGCCGCGATGGAGTCCTTGGTGCGGATGATGGAGTCGGGCCTGGCGGAGAAGCTGCCGCTGCCGCCGCACCGCTCCCCGCCGCCCCCGCCGCCGCTCGCCGTCGCCGGCGGCCCCGGCTCCTCCTGCTGCAGTTGCCGGCGGAACTCCTCCAGCAGCGTCTCCACGCCCGAGATCTGCGAGCGCAGGTCGGCCAGCGGCGCCGCGCAGCGCCCGCCCGGCAGCACGGCCCGGCCGCCCAGCGCCGCCAGCAGCACCAGCACCAGCGCCGCCATGGCCCCGGGCGGCGGCGGCGGCGCGGCTCCCTCGCGGCGCGGCGCCGCTGGCCGACCTGCGCTCGCAGATCTCGGGCGTGGAG